GCTTCCAGGTGCCTTCCTCTTCCCCCCCACATTTATTCATGGGTTTTAACTAAGTCCAATCTTATTAAATAATTTTTATTATAATTTTAACTTATAGGCTGGAAGATTTACATTAGCTAAAGACTTTATTATACACGTCGACCCTTGGCTGAGGTAATATTCACCAATTATTTCTAAGAAGTCTCTAGGAACATTTTTTTGGAAAACATAGTAATGTTAGCAGTTACGTGACATAATTTTTTTTAATTTGATATGTCAAAGATTAGTAGCTGATGTCGAAATTTCCACCACCCAGCACCGCATCTCCATCTCTCCACAAGCACTCTCATATCCCTCCACACACCTTCTCAATATATTTCAAAAAGCACCAACACTATCCCCCGGCATGCCCTCTTTTATATCTCTTCACACATTCCCAATACTAGGCAGCACACCCACTCCATATCTCCACACAAACAAGCCCATGTCCCCCAGCACACCCTCTACATATCTCTCCAAAATACTCCGTATCTCCTCCAGCATCTTTATATCTCTCCACAAGTACTCCCGATATCCCCCAGCACACTCTCTCCATATCTTTCCAAACGCACTCCCCATGTTCCCCAGTACACTCTCTCTATATCTCTACATAAGAACCCCATGACCCCAATCACACCACAAAATCTTTCCAGAGGTTTCGTTTCTCTACACAAGCACTCCCCATGTCCCCCAAGCACACCCTCTCAAAATATATCCAAAAGCACTCACCATGATAGCCGGTACAATCTTTCCATATTTCTCCACAAGCTCTCGCCATGTCCCCCAGCACACACTCTATATCTCTCCACAAGCACTCCCCATGTCCTCCAGCACACCCTCCCAATATCTCTCCACAAGCACTCCTCAGGTCCTCCAGCTCAACCACTCTATATCCGTCCACAAGCACTTCCCAAGCACCCCCAGCACACCACTTTTCATATCTCTCCATAAGCACATCCCATGTCACCCAGGACACATCCCTTCATATCTCTCCACAAGCACTACCTATTTCCATCAGCACACCCTCTCCATATAACTCCATAAGCACGCCCTATTTCCCCCAGCATACCCTCTCTATGTCTCTCGACAAGCAATCCCGTTGTTCCACTGCACACCCTCTCCATATCTCTCCACAAGTACTCCTCATGTCCCCCAGCACACCCTCTCCATTTCTATCCACAAGCATTTCTAACACAAGGGAGTCGGCGGCTGAGTAGACATAACACTGTATGCGTGATCCTGTGGTCCCGGGTTCGATCCCGGGCGCAGGCGAGAAACAATAGGAAGAGTTTTTTCACCCTGATGGCCCTGTTACCTAGCTGTAAATAGGTACCTGGGAGTTAGTCAGCTATAACGGGCTGCTTCCTGGGGGTGGTGGCCTGGTCGAGGACCGGGCCGCGGGGACACTAAAAGCCCCGAAATCATTTTAAGCTAACCTCCCAATGTTCCCCCAGCTCAACCTCTCCAAATTTCTCCACAAGCACTCCTCATACCCTCCCCCCTTCTCAAGCACACTCTCTCAGTATCTTTCTATAAGTACCACATATCCACAAGCACACTCTCTCCATGTCTCTCCATAAGCACTCCCTATTTCCCCCAGGACAACCTCTCAACATCTCTCCACAAGCACTCCATATGTTCCCTTGAACACTCAATCCATTTCTTTCCACAAGCACACTCTATGGCCCCCAAGACACCCTCTCATTATTTCTCCACAAGCACTCCGCTTGTACCCAAGCACACACTCTCCCTATCTCTCCACAAGCACTATCCATGTCACCCAGCACAGCCTCTCAATATCTCTTCACAATCACTCCCCATCTTCCCCGAGGCTCCTTCTCCAAATATCTCTGCAAGCAATCCCATTGTGCTCTGGCACACCCTCTCCATATCTCTCCACAAGCACTTCCCATGTCCCCGCGCACACTCTCTCCATATCTCTCCACAAGCACACCCTATATCCCCCAGCACACCCTCTCCATATTTCTCTACAAGCCCTCTCCCATTTCCCCAAGTACACCCTCCCCATGTCTCATCACAAGTACACCCCATGTCCCCCCCCACCACACCCTCTTGATATCTCTCCTCAAGCACTCCCCATGTCTTCCCAGCACACCCTCTCCATATTTCTGTAAAAGTACTCCGAATGTCGCCCAGAACACCTTCGCTATGTCCCTCCACAAGCATTCCCCATATCCCCTCTTCACACCCTCTCTATATCTCTCCAAAAGCACACCCAATGTCCCCAAGCTCAAACTCTCCTTATCTTTCCAAAACCACTCCCGATGTCTCCTCCCCAGCTCAAGCTCTCCATATCTTTCCAAAAGCATTCCCAATGTCTCCTCCCCAGCTCAAGCTCTCCATATCTTTCCAAAAGCATTCCCAATGTCTCCCAGCCCACTCTCTCCTTATCTTTCTAGAAGTATCCCATATCCCCAAGCACAGTCTCTCCATATCTCTCCACAAGCACTCAATGTTCTCCCTAGTACACCCTATCCATTTCTTCCACAAGCATTCCCTCCCCCCTTTTCCCCTTGACACCCTCTCATTATCTCTCCACAAGCACTCCCCCTTGCCCCCAGCACACCTCCATATCTCTCCACAAGAATTCCCGATGTCCCCTAGCACACCCACTCCATTACTCTCCACAAACACTCCCCATCTTTCCCGAGGTTCCTTCTCCAAATCTTACCACAAGCACTCCCATTGTCTCCCGGCACACCCTCTCCTTATCTCTCCACAAGCATTCCCCATGTCTCCGAGCACACTCTCTCCACAAACACCCCTCATGTCCCCCAGCACACCCTCTCCATGTCTCACCACAAGCACTCACTATGTCCCCAAGCGCACTCTCTCAATATCTCTTCACAAGTACTCCCAATCTTCCCCAGCACACCCTCTCCATATTTCTCCACAAGCACTCCCCCATGTCCTCCAGCACACCCTATTCTTGTCCGTCCACAAGTATTCCCCTGGTCTCCCAGCACACTCTCTACATATCACTCCCCAATATCCCCCAGCACACCCTCTCCATATCTCTCAACAAGCACTCCCCCATTTTCCCAAACACTCCCTGTCCATATCTCTCCACAATCACTCCCCATGTACTCAAGCACACCCTCTCCACATATCTCCACAAGCACTCCGCACGTCCCACAGGACACCATCTCCATATTTCCTAGCAAGCACTCCCCATATACCCCAGCACACCTCCATATTTCTCCACAAACACTCCCCAAGTCCCCCAGCATAACCTATCCATATCTCTATACTAGCACTCCCAGTGTCCCCAAGCACACTCTCTCTCCATATATCTCCACAATCACTCCCCATGTCCCACATGTCCACCACTCCATTTCTATCCACAAACACTCCCCATGTCCCCCGGCACACCCTTTCCATACCTCTCCACAAGCACTCCTTTTGTCACCCATCACACCTCCATATCTCTTCATAAGCACTTCTCCGTGTCCCCCATCATACTCTATCCATATCAAGCCATAAGCATTCCCCATGTCCCCAGGACATCCTCCCCATATACCTCAACAAGCATTCCCCATGTCTCCGAGCACCCTCTCCATATCTCTCCACTAGCACTCCCCATGTCCCCCAGGACACCCCTCTCATTATCTCTCCACAAGCACTCTCCATGTCCCCCAGGACACTCTCTCTATATATCTCCACAATAGTGGCAAGGTGCTTGTGGAGATTTTCTTGCTTCCTTCCCACACATGTCCTTGCATGTCTCCTCCCTCCCTGCCCAAACATGTCCTTACACTGTCTCCTCCCTCCCTGCCCACACATGTCCTTACACTGTCTCCTCCCTCCCTGCCCACACATGTCCTTACACTGTCTCCTCCCTCCCTGCCCACACATGCCCTTGCACTGTGTCCTCCCTCCCTGCACACACGTACTCTTTCTCTGCCTCTCACTGTACTCTCGCTGCCTACACACTCCATTCTCAAAAAATATGGCGCCCCCAGAATGCAAATCTGTCATCTATTTTTTTTAAACCTGTATCTGAATTCAATATTATTTAAACTAATCCAACAGTCTATAAACTAAAATTTATATAAACATATATCATGAAGGGTGGACATTGGAGTCATGCAAAGTCTTTTGAAGCTAGCCCCAAGCTGGCTTCCAATCTCTAACATAGATATTCTTATATATTGATATAGATTATTATAGTAATATTCGTTGAACATTAGCTATAGTAATAAATGTATCCCTTATAAAGGATATAATTATCCTTATAAAGGTAATAATAAAAGTTAGCTATAGAAGCAAAGGTGAAATGTGGTATTTTTTTAATTTTTGACGCCATACTGCATCATTCCCGCACATTCGTCCAAAAAAAAAATGACGCCATACTGCGTCAATACCGGGGAAAGTGATAAATTATAAATTCTAAAATGTATCAGTGTGACTGCATGTCTTGTATGCATTCTTGTACCATTTAATGGAATTCAAAATCGCTTGGTATCATAATAGAGGGATTCTTGCAAGAAGCTAGAACCCATTAGTGAATGTGACATGGTCAATGCAAACAGAGTAATGAGATCTGGCAACTAGCAAAACATTGGGTTTTTCTAGGTACCATGTTAAGTGTAGGCCCTCACAGCCCCTGAAATCCTGGTTTAGGGAGAACACTGAAACTCAGCCATTTTAGTTATTAGGTGAAGCCAAGATTGCATGAATATCAAATTTAGCTGTAACTGTGTGTTGAAGAGCTCTAGAATATTAAATATAATTTATAGTGATGATCATGCACAGGTAAAATTTTTAATGTCCACATAAGTCGGCCGCTGCACAAACCCTGGTCAATGCTTTGTCCCTCTGACACACCCATGTCCATACTCACCACACATATAGTAGAGAGGATTGGAAGTTCACCACTATAGTTATATACTACATTTGAATGACAGTTACTCTGATTATAAGTCTTATTTACTTAGTGACTTTCTGCTCTATTCCAACAGATGAAGGTGACAATACTGCTCCTGTGTGGCTTTGCTCTAGCAGCAGCCCATCCCACCTGGGAGGAATTCAAGGTAAAGCAATTATCACTTACAATTTCCTTGGTATTGTATGTCGTTGTGACTTAATTGACTTCCTAAGTAAATACGGATTATTATAGCCAAAGATATTTGCTACTTTAAATATTAAACCGTTTGATGCTCATATAATTGATTTATATTAATTTTTTTTTTAAATTAAGTAAAAAAAAAAAAAAATTTCAAATCTTTTTATTTGTCATTAAAATAAAACTATGTTAAAATTTTTGTTGTTAGAGCACTGTTTGATTTAACTAAAGAATATAGGAATAACCAAAGTAGGTTATGCATTAAAAAATTGTATTATTCAATTATCCCTTGATTTTTTTAAATACAAAATGAAAGTTAGGAAAAAACCTAGTGTCTAAGCAATCATATGCTTAATGATAAGCATATGTATGATAAATGTTATCTTAGGCCGAGTATAGTACATATATGTGCTATTGTAGAAGAAGAAATGTTAACGGTTTGGTCTATAGCTTTTATCCTGAAATTTATTGAATTAAAAGTATAAAACAAGAGCTTTTTGGTGGTCCAACTTTACTTAACGTACTTTTGAATAGTTACTATAAGTACACTATTTTTAGACGGAAGGGTTGGTAGAAAGAATATACAATGAATAAGAGAACTTTGTGTTTAAAACGTTGATTGCAAAAGCCAGTAACTTATGTGTTAGACGACAGTAGCTTCGTTTGTTGGAACTAAGGAATAAATACAGAGAGGTAAGGAAACAGTAAACACGTGAGATGAATTGTTGGAGATGAAGGTTGAGAAGGTGTAGTGCGGGTGAACACTCAAGTTCTGTATAAATCAACAGGAAGTGAGCCATGCAAGTTGAATAACATTAACTGCAGGTTTAGAAAGATAATATAAAGAAATATAGTAAAGTGTAAAATTGCTGTAAAAATATTGCCGTTGTTATTACTTAACTTTCACCATCTACCCTACCCTTCATCAGCTCCTGTATTCGTAAACACTTTCCTTTTATCACGGCAACTATCTTCAATATGAACAGACAGAAAATAAACTACTTAATACAAAATAACATTTAATCATAAACATATACTTTATGAATCTTAGTTTAAATTGTTTAAATTTTGTTTTAATAATAAATTGTTGTGAATGTGGTTTTGTTGTTTTATCTGACGATCATTATATACATGCGAACAAGCCTGAATGGTCCCCAGGACTATATATATAATATATATATTAATATATATATATATATATATATATATATATATATATATACATATATATATAGTTCTTATATTATTATATAATATATATAATACATATATATAATATATATATTAATATATATATATATATATATATATATATATATATATATATATATATATATATATATATATATATATATATATATAGTTCTTCAGAGTTCTGAAGAACTCTGTAGGGTAAGGCAGGTCCTAGTCAACAACGGCTTCTCCAATGGTTTCGTCGAAGACATCATAAGAAGGAAAGTGAAACGCCATGCAACCTCTGAAAAGACAACTAACACAACACCTATACCCCCCTATTAGACTATTTTACAGGAACTTCTTTTCCACAGCTCATAAAACAGAGGAAAGGGTCCTGAAAGATATTGTTAATAGAAACGTTATCCCTACAGACAAAAATCAGAGGATACAACTGACGATTTACTATAAAACCAGAAAAACGGCCAGCCAACTCATGAGAAACTCTCCAGACACAAAGCAGAACGCTTTAAAAGAGACCAACGTCGTCTATGCCTTCAAATGCCCTCTTGGGGACTGTAAGCTCCAAAAAACCCAGTATATAGGCAAGACAACAACATCTCTCTCTAGGCGTTTAACGATGCATAAACAACAGGGCTCCATTAAGGAACATACAATCTCTTCCCACAACCAAACCATCGCCATAGAAATCCTAGTAAACAACACAGAAATCATCGATAGATACAGCGATAGCAGGCGGCTTGACGTTTGCGAGGCACTACACATTAAGAAGTCAACACCAGCAATCAACAGCCAATTAATGCACAACTATATTCTACCCACCTCAAGACTCCGCTCCAATATAGAAGCATCAAGAAATATGGACCAATAGGCTTTCTACAATCATTTCCATTTCAATACCCATTGTTTCGTGTTCTGTCTTGTGTTGATGAAATTAATACCCTATTAATGCCACCTCTTGTTCTGTCTTGTGTTGATGAAATTAATACCCTATTAATGCCACCTCACTCAAATGTAGATATAAACAAAATCAGAGATGTGTAAGTTTTATTCAGTTGTGTATTTGTAAACTAAAGTCTTTGAAAATGTAATAAGTTTTACGAAACGCGCTCGTGTCGCGTCAGACTAGAAATAAAAATGAATTTTGGAGAATTGATTTTTAATTACCTCCATCAGTGAAAAGAAATGTACGAAAGATTGAGAAAATTCGTGTTAGAATTATTAATCTTACTTTTTCGGTCATATTTAATAATATATATATATATATATATATATATATATATATATATATATATATATATATATATATATATATATATATATATATATATATATATATATATATATATATATATATATATATATATATGCAGAAAATCCACAGAGAAATATGAAATGAGGTGAACGTTTCGGCTTGTTAAAACCTTTGTCAACACCAGACTGACTAAAGGAGAAGGGAGAAGGGGGAGGATATATAGGCCGACACCTGACCATCCCATCCCTAGGGAAAGAATTAACCAAGAAACAGGTATAGCTTAGCTTAGAATGGTCAAAGAGGATTAAGCGGTCAGAGAATAAGGATGAAAGATTAAAGAAAAGCCTCATGAACACACAATATATGAATATAAAATTATAATGAGACATTGTAAGCCTCTATATCAGAGTTTTTTCTTAAACTGTTGTGCAATATTATAACTTAAAAATGGATCAAGTTTGTACATTCCAGTACTAACATTAAGAAGATTTGGACACTGACTGATTAGAGCAGACTCAATTAAATTCCGTTCCACGAAATCCCCACAATTGGTAATGCTTTTTGCCCCATTCCAGTTAATATTGTGATCGCATAAACTCTTATGTAGATACAATGCATTAGACGTTTGGGCAGTTCTAATACTATAAGCATGTTCTGACATCCGCAATTGTAAAGACTTTCCTGTTTGTCCAAGGTACACAGAATCACAATCATTGCAAGGAATCGAATACACACAACCTGCTGTATCAGGGAAGTTTTTTATTAAATTGGATTTGATCGTACTATTAGTGAACACCAAATTTATATTAAGTTGCTTAAAAATCAGAGACAATTTTTCAAGTCCACTCGCATAAGGAACCACCAATGAGTTAATAATTTCTGGTTTCGCCTTAGGGTCGTGATTATAAAACGTACGCTTCGCTTGTTCAAACGAGAAATCCAAAAACCTTTTAGGATTTTGTAAACTCTTCCCAATTTCATATATTTTAGCAATCTCTTCATCAAAAAACTCAGGGCTGCATACCCTCAAAGCTCGTAGAAACATTTCTGAAAATACTGCCTGTTTAGTGGTGGATAACTGTAAGTACGCTTTTCTCCAAGCCATTCCGCCTAAGTGGAACCGTTGTATGATGGATTACTGTTATACTACTTTGAGGTCTACCTGCAGAAAGGTGAGTACTAAACTTGATTTCAAATTAAAGAAACTTATTCAACAAAGTGACTGGAATAAACACTCCAACCGGGATTTTGTTATAAACCTCTCGGATAGACAGCTTGATAATGACACGATTACTGCATTAGGATATGGCCTGAGCTTTGCCACATCTAACGGAACAGTCAATTATGTAGATATTGCCAAAGGTTTCAGCAATCTTGAAAAGTATAGCAATGTCTCAGTTGAAGATATTAACGTGTGCAAAGGTATGATGTATGGCGTTTTACTTAACAATTCTGTTCCTAATTGTCCAAGTCGGTTTGTTCATGTGTTCAAAAATCTCAAAAAAGATAGTTCATTACATATTACCAAGGCTGATAAGTCAAATACAGTTGTTATTATGAATAAAGATGACTATGTCCAAAAAATGGAGTTACTCCTGGAAGACAGGGGTACTTATCTATTGATAAATAGAGATCCTACTGAAAAAGTGATTGCACATTTTAACAAAACTCTTAAAACTGTGTGTAAAGGCAATAAAGAGTTGATATCTAGGCTAACAAGTCGATCCCCCTCTCTTCCTTACATAAATGGTCCTATAAAAACTCATAAGCCATATAATCCGGCAAGGCCGATTATTAGTTCAGTTGGTTCGGCGGCTTATAAACTCTCTAAGTGGTTAGTCAAAGTTTTGTCCCCTATAGTTGGTACTATTTCCAACTCACACTTGACAAACAATGTGGACTTGCTTCTGAAAAAGTTCGTGTTTATGATCTGTTAGAATTTCTACGTGAAGAACTGCCTAAATATAATTTGAGCTTGCAGACCAATAAAGTATTGGAACTTATCAAATTATGTATAAAAGACAATTATTTTAGTTTTAATGGAAAATTTTTCAAACAAACATTTGGTATGGCGATGGGCAATCCCCTTTCCCAAGTTTTAAGCAATTTGTATATGGAATTCTTCGAAACAAAAATCTTATCCTGGATTATCCCGGCTAATGTAGTTTGGTTTAGGTATGTTGATGATATTTGTGCTTATGTCCGTGCGACAAAGACCAGATAGTTTTTCTTAACGAACTCAATTCTTTGGTACCTTCAATAAAATTCACTTGTGAGACTGAGGAGAATGGTACTCTTCCGTTTTTGGACATTATGATTCATAGAGTCACTAGAATGTTCAAATTTATTGTGTATAGGAAACCTACCAACGTGGGGTCGTATGTTCATTTTTATTCGAATCATCATAGTAAAGTTAAGCAGGCAGTATTTTCAGGAATGTTTCTACGAGCTTTGAGGGTATGCAGCCCTGAGTTTTTTTATGAAGAGATTGCTAAAATATATGCAATTGGGAAGAGTTT